TTCTATAAAACTCCAAATTTTTCCGGAAAATTTTTGGATGGTAAAGTTTCTAGGGGCACTCGAGAGACATTTGTTACCAGCCGGCTACGCGTCCGAGGCTCCAGGCGGCCCCCGCTGGCCCGGGGGCGCGCGCCCTCTGCCGCGCCTCCTCGCACCGTCCCGCGCCCTGTCACGCCCCCCTCGCTGCGTTCGGCGTGCGGGGGTTATTTCAGGCGTAAGCGGATCTCTGGCCCTCCGTGGGGTCGGAATTAGAAACTTGTATACCGAACGCCCTGGCTGGTGGGGCCGGCTGGCCGGGGCGGGGTGTGGGGCAGCTCTCCGAGGGCCCCGAGGCAGGCAGGCAGGCGCTCTCTCTCTGTTCCTCCTCGCCCCTGCCTGCCGCGCACCCTCCTATCCTGCCTGCTCTGCCTCGGCCTGCTGCGCCTGGGGCGCGCCGCGGCGGGGGCGATACCAGGAAATATGGTGGCGAAAACGAGAACGAAGGGTTGGCTTTTGTTGTTTGGCTTTGGGGGGCGGCGGGAGAGAGAGAGAGGAGCAAAGGGCTGCTCGCCCAGGGTGGGCGTCCTCCTCGCGTCGATACGAGTCAGGCTGCGCGCGCCCCGCCCCGCCACCAGGCGCTGCAGTGATTCATCGCACACTTGCGGTGGCGGTGCGAACTCATCTCCAGAGTTATTGCGCCGGCAGGTGTTAACGTGCGCCCGTCTCCCTCCGGAACACCCTGGCCGGTGCGTGCAGCGTGCGTGCGTGCGTGCGTGCGCAGGTGCAGGGGGGACTGACCCCTCACTTACACCGCGGCGTATGAGGGATTCGGTCCTCTGCCCGGCGGCTGGCCGGCGGCTGGCCGGCACCGGCCGTGGGTGTCATAGCGACAGCCGGAGAGGACCAGAGAGGAGGACCGCTGGAGTTAATCAAATTTCTGCGGCTCGGACGTGCCTCGCATGCGTACGCCCTGGTTTGGTTTGGGGGCAAATGCCTCTCATTCTCTCTGTCTCCCCCCCCCCCTCCTCCCCCTCCCTGCCTACTGGACCGGAGACACGGGCAAAGGAGACAGAGGGACTGCAGCGCGAGACGCGAGTCGGGCGTGTCCTTTTCTCCGCTAGAATTCAAAGCATTTCGCTCATGTCGTGCGTGTGTGTGTCGGCTCCGCATCGCATGTCAATCTCTTGCAGCAGCGCGGCCGCCGCCGCGCCTCGCAAACGTTTCTCCGAAGCGTTCGAAAATGGTTTATTTTTATTTGAAAGATGTTTCTCGTTGGCCGCGGCGGCGCGGTGGCTCGCTGCAAGAGAGAGATGATGTTTTCGAGAAACCTTTGCGCCGGCGAAGGGGAGCCTCGGGAGGTCCGCGCCGCCGTGCTGCTGCTAGGCGGAGCCAGAGGCGGAGCCGTCACACGGAGATGGCAAGGGACGCCCCCGCCCAGCGCGCTAAACTTAGACACCCCCCGCCCCCCTCCCCCATCTGTGCGGAGGGCCCTGGGCCCGGCCCTGGGTCTGGGGGTGGTCGAGCTGAGTCACTGCGCGCCCCTCTGTGACTCACTGGAGGACGCAACCAGCGGCGGGGTGGGGTGACGTCACGAGCTGCCCTGTTCCTCCTCCTCCTCATCACCAGCTAGATGATGTGCGCGTTGACGGCGACGTCGTCGGGTCGGCGTCAGCGGCCTGTTTATTCGTATTGTTGCACTGCAGCAGACCCATGACGACGGGGTCGTGTCCTCCCCCTAAATAATTGTGAGCTGTTTGTCGCCGGCGCTGCTTCACCAGGGCTGCTGCTGCTGTGTATACTTATCGCACCGTCACCATCTCGTCGGCTGGGTTATGACCAATTTGTCCGACAAAGTTGCGTGCCTCGGTGACCCAATTTGGTCCACTCTGATTCTTCTCGACGGCCCGGCGGCGTGCAGCAGCAGCAGCCGGTTCCGACGGACGGAGACCCCTGGGCCCTGGGCTGGGCCGCCCCGTTCGGTTTGGCACCGTGACTTATCAGGCCACTATCGCTCTGTTGCAGGCGGCAGCTCCAAGGAGTCCAAGAAGGACACCCTGTCGCCATCCGGCGGAGGCTTCGGCTTTGGTGAGTATTATCACGAGAATTTGTTGTGCAGAGTGGAACGCTCATCGTTTCCTGCGTGGCTACGTAGCCTCTCCAGTAAGGAGTAAAATGACTCGATGATGGCTACTATCAGCGGAAATGAGACTTGAAGGATTCTAACTGCAAGCTCTTTCTTCTACTCTGAGGAAAGAATGCCAAGCAACCAAATACGCGGGACAAAATATTGTGTTGATCTGTTCGCAGGGCCGCATATTTGGCATCGGGAGGACGTTCGTGCCGACTGTTTGGACCGTGAGAGTCATTTTTCTAATTTTGCATTTTCTTTAGCGTCGTGTAGTAGTTTGTAGAGCACTGCTTGCTGCGGCACCTTGCACCACCATCGTAGTTTGTAAAAGGTGTCGTCTTTCCTCGTCGTGTGCACTGACGACAGGGAAATTCGATACCTCTCGCCTACTTCGTTCTGTTTTCCGCTGTACTGCGCACCACTTCTGCACGAGTTTTTTTTCTTTTTTTTCTGTTCTTTCCTGGATTTTGCTGACTTTGACTTTGCGATTGCTGCGGTAGTCGTTCTGATACATGCAGTAGAGTTGCGTTAGGGTAGGGATGCCGTATGATGAACCTTTGCTGAGCCGCGCCCCGCCTATATGTGCCTCGTCAGAGGAAACAATTTCCCTCCTCCTCCTCGCGCCGAGCAGAAGCAGCCGCGGAGCCAATGAACAGGTTCCGCGGATGGATTCTGTTTTCTCACTACTAATGCCGCACAATGTTGGCCGGCCTGCTCGTCCTCTTTACTTTCACTGCGAAGCTCTAACGGCCCGAAACAGACCGGCCTTGGCGCGGCGAGCCGCAGCAGCGGCGGCGGGGCGGAGGCCTGGCCCGGCCCGGCCCGGGCAGTCACCCCTGGCCGTGTGTGTACTGAGCGCGCGACCTGCAGCAGCTGCAGGCTTGCCAAGCACAGGCACAGCGAGCATGCAGCAGGTCCACACGCTCAATGATTCAGTAGGTGCTTGTGTGCATACGTATGCATGCCCATGGGCAGATCTACTCACGCAGTGTTATGTACAAAGTTGTAACCTAATCTTTTGTGCAAGGTCTGTACCTAGTTTTGTACTTTTTTTTTCAATTATTCACTACTGTTTAGATCATTTTTTGCACCAGTTTGTACAAGTAATCTCTATTTTCATCAGAACTTTGTAAGCACAAATAATCATTCGGTACCATTGAGTACCCGATTTATGGTCACAAGTTTTTGCATATTTACGCACGGGAAAAATGCGGCGCATGAAAATTTCGTGTCTTGTAGTTACACACACATATTCCCTCGGTCTGGGCGCGCAAAGCAGTCCGCGGGCGAGCAGGCGCGGGCTATTGACACGCCCCGCACTCACCTCACACTCGATAAGCCCGTGGTGGCCGATCACCCGGAGCGGCACGGCCAGATAGGCATTATCTGGCTGTCGCGCGGTGTTGTTTGTAAATCGCGCGCCCGCGGCGGCTGACGGACGAAATGTCAAGCGACGAGTGCGCGCGACAGGACGGTGTGATTAGCTCCGCGCGGCCGCGCCTTCTTCTCCTCGTCGCGGTGGTAGGAATTCTGTAAAATCCGACATTTTTCCGGGTAAAAATTTCGAAACTTTTCCAGAAGAATAAGCCTAATGAACAATGTCCAGAAAAATTTAAAAAGAATTCAATTATAATTGATATATATTGGTATATATAATATATGCCCAAAAAAATTTGAAAAAAAATCGCACTATGTCCAAAGAAATTGAACAAAAGGAAACTTTTTTAAAAAATCTTGAAATTCTTTCCCAAAAATGCTTTTCCGCGGAAAATGAAAGTACAGACTCCTTTGGCAGTGTCTTGGCCTACTGCTGGCTTGTCACAACTGCGTGACAACGAGCGCTGTGGATGTTTTACGATCGTCACTCTCCTCTTTTTTTTTTGTCCCGCGCTGTGACACTTATTACTGGCTATTTAACCGGTTATTTGTGAATGGTTATATGTCACATAATTTTTGCGTGCGGGCATGTCAAAATAATCTGAGACCCGCATGAATATAGAATTCATTGTTATCCCTGAAAAAAATAAAAACGAGGTGAATTTTTTTTAATTTAATTTTTGCCAATGAAACTTAAATAAATGATGATTTGTGGTGTCGCGTTGGCTTGAGCATCCCTGATTGAGAGTGTGTGCCCAGGCCAAGGCCAAGGCCTATAGGCTGCCACGTTTGACACGGTGTGTTGACCCGGACCCGTCTCGTCCAGCTAGGCCCTCTCCTCACGGCGGCGACGACGCGAAGCGAGAAAGAACTATTGACACGATATCGAAAATAGCCAACAGTATCGCCCTGCTCGACTACTTTGTTTCGATATCTGTTCGATAATCTCGCTTTGCACTGGGGGGGCGTGGGTTAGGCCCGGCTTCCCCTTGCCCTCCTGCCTCCTCAGCCCGCGCCTCCGCAGCTCGCTATCGTTTCTGAACGCTGATGTGGAACCAGTTCTGTGGCGCCTGCTGCTGGCCGCGGCGCTCGCTGTTCTTAGGGGCTTTACGGCTCATGCCGCTAAAGTCGGGATCTATCGAGGTAGAATTTAGTCACTCGTTTGGGGGGAAAAATCAACACTGGCCATAATTTAGCAGAAGCGCTCTGACCGGCCGGCCGACCGGGCTCTGTGATGGCCCTCCTGGAGCGGAGTGGTTCTCCTCCTCTTCCCTCCTTTCTTCCGCTTCTGAGCGTGGAATGCTCGCGAGCCGCGATGTGTGCGGCTCGGATTCTCTGCCAGCGGCGGCTTTCTTTTGCAAGAGAACGAAGTGTGTTACAAGAAACATATTTACAGCTGAGTGGAATAGGTCCCCGCGCAGCAGAGGCCGCTGACTCGGTGACACAATGTCCGTATAGCGCTGGAGCTGTTGCTGCCGCCAAAGCGTTAGCGTCGCTGGCAATGAGCGTTCATCCGGGGAGGAGGTCAGGGGAAATTACCTCACCTAAAGAACTCAGAGGAGAACTCACAAAATAAAAGGAGGTTCGCGCCGCGGGATCTATTAACGTCCTCTGGCGGCAAAATATGAAAATTATCATTTGATTTGCTTCATTAACTTGAGATTTGCAACAATTTTAGCCGCCGTACACGACGACTAGATGGTGGCGGTAGAGAAGCTAGTCCGTGATGAGGAGGGCAATATGGGAGAGGATGGGGGATGTGAAAGGTTTCCGATCCGGTCCGGTGCGACTGGTCGCTGGTCGCTCGACGCGCGCATGTAGCGTCGCCTGCTGGACAGCCTGCTCGATCTTGTCAGTGTAGATCTGCCGTATCTGCTGATTGAAGTCGCGCCGCCCTGCCCGGCCCGCCAGTGTGACGTCTTACATTAGCAGGGATTCAGATTATTGTGCCTACGTGCGTCGCACACGACTGCGTCATGCTCTTTTCGAGTGAAATCGGTGGTATGGAACATGCCAGAATGTCTGAGGCAACGGCAGAGCAACAGGAGGATATATATGCGGAGGGGTTTCGTTCGTCTCTCACCTACCCT